TTCTGCTAGTTGGGGTTTAGTCCAAATCTGCATCCTTTCCTTCAAGGCTCAGGGGTCCAAGATTATCTTCTGTGTCTGTATTTATTGGTTTCCCTTTTCTTTGTTGAAGAGGGTCTGTGCAATCCTTCTGCCTAGTCCGCCATCTTGCCCTCGAAGCCAGAAGACGTTTATTTTTGAAAAAGGAAAACGTGTACTAGATGATGACCAGCTCGTCCAGGGCCTGACCTGGGCAGTTACAGCCCTTCCCGATCCAGTCCCCACATCCCTCTCACTGCCCCTCCCTGCCTCCTGGGACGCTCTGGTTCAGGGCCCTGAGCTCACAGCTTCGGGCGGCTTCCTCCTCTGTAGGTGGGAGGGAGAGGCCTGCCCTGGCAGCCCCCTGGGTTGTGGTGAAGAGGGTCTGGATGGTGCCCTGTTGCTCCTGTGTCCTTGGGCATCGGTATGGATTGAAGTGCGTGTCAATAAAGCTACGCTGACGTCCTCACCCCTGTGCGTGGGCACGTGACCGGGTTTGGAGACAGAGTCGTTGCCGAGGTCATCGGCTACCATGAGGTCCCACTGGAGGAAGTGGGTTCTAATCCAGTGAGTGGTGTCCCGCAAGAGGAGAGACACACAGACACACAGACACACAGGGATGGGGATGTGATGACGGAGGCGGAGATGGAGTGATACAGCTATAAGCCGAGGAACGCCAAGGACTGCCAGCCTTCAGCTGCAGCCAGGGGTTTGTTGTTGTTGTTGTTGTGTGCCGTCGAGTCAGACCCGACTCATAGCGACCCCTCCTTGGGTTTCCGAGGCAGTATCACTACGGAAGTAGACTGCCCCATCTTCACGGAATAGATTCTCCCTCTAAGGAGTCAACATGGCCCACACCCTGATCTTGGAGTCCCACCCTCCAGACCCGTGAGACTGAATTTGTTGGTCTTCATTTTATGTGGTTGGGTTTTGCTGTGCGGCTGACTCAGTTCTGACTCACGACAACCCCATGGGTGCAGAGAACTGCTCCCCAGGGTCTCCAAGGCCTGGGCCTTCCTGGGCACAGACTGCCAGGTCTCTTTCCTGGGCACTCATGGGGCTCCAAACTGCCAGCCCTTTGGCTCCTGGTTGAGCACTTCACTGTTCCACACTCACTGACCCCTTTGTTTCTGCTGCTGTTTTAAGGTCCCCTCCTCCCCCAGGTGTGGTACCTGAGGACCAATGCAGCCACTCCACTGGCACCAGAAGGCTCTCCGTGGTCAGACCTAACTGCGGAAGGTTTGAGCCCAACTGGCACGGGAGACGAGGGGTCTGATGGGAGACAGGCAGATAGCCGTGTTGTTTGACTGCCTCTCCCTTGGGACACTTCCCCTCCCCCCTCTCCCCTCCAGGGCAGTGTCCCCGGGCACCCCGTCCTCAGAGCCCCAGCTGCCTCAGCACCAGCTCGGTGTCCTGGGCGGAGACATCGCGGTGCCACACGGCGCGCACGGAGCACTCCGTCCAGAGGAAGAGCAGCGCGCGAACCACCCGGCCCGTCTGCGCAGCCTCGTCCGCGCTCGCGGCCTGCAGACGCCGGCACTGTTCCTCCGGCAGCAGCCCAGCCTCCTGCACCATCACCACGTTGGTCTCCACAGTGCTGGGGTCCACGGAGCAGACGGGGGAGGCCAGCTCCTGGAGTCCTAGACGCAGGTCCTGCAGTGAGCGGAGCCTGCCCGGGGTCCACACCTGCCCCCCACCCCAGTCTGACCCCAGGGAAGGCAGAGGGGCCGCCTGAGGCCCCTGGAGTCATGCTGTGCTATGTCTTAGCTGTGTGACCTTGGACGGGTGGCTTAACCTTTCTGGGTCCCAGTTTCCTCCTCTGTGAAGTGGGGACCTCAGGGGGTGTGCTGAGGACTCAGTGGCTGGGAAGGCCCCAGCTAGAGGCCACCCTCAGCCAGTTCTGGCATCTCGTGGTGGTCACTTTTGCCGGCAGGTGCTAAGCTCGCAAACAGTGCATCCCACCCTGGCTCGGCGGCCAGCCTCCAGCGTCCTAGCGGCTGCAGGGTGTGGAGCTGCTGGGGGCTGAGGCCCAGGCCGCGGCAGCAGAGGGCAGCCGGGCCCCGGCCCAGGCACCTCTGGCGAATCTCTGGGCGTTCCGGTGGTCCTGCAGCAACACCTCCTCAGCATCCGACAAACCCACCAGGGCGGCAGCGGCCAGCACCCCCGCCTGACGCATCCCGCCGCCCAGGGCCTTCCGGAGACGCCAGGCTTTTTCCATGAAATCCTTTGGTCCCTCAACCAGAGCCCCCACTGGAGCCCCCAGGCCCTGGGAGGA